GAGACGCAGCATACATCGATGGAACGAGATTCTAAAGTCCTAGCTAATGACGCCTGTTGCCCTATTTGACACAATGTCCGTACATTGAATGCTCCAACATGTAGTTTGGAACGGGGTTTAAGGAGACCAGGAACGACGTTTCGCAAACTCGCATCGTTTGCATTAGCTGTGCACTGTAATAAATGAATGTGAGAAGAGTTAGTTGTGGAGATAAGAGAGGTATTAGGGAATGTAGGAAGGATTTGATTTTGAACAATTTTGTCTCGTGTGCTGTTGCGGGTATGAGGGCGGTTATCACTTCCCGGCTGCCCACACCGTGGAAGGTTGTTTCTTGACGAACCTGAAAAGGAAGATGGATTAGTGTTGGTGCGTGACCGCAGAGTCCAAGGGACAACTGCTTGAGGCCGGTCACGCACGGCCTTTTTATGAGAGGTATTTAGAGGATTAGCTCCGTTCTTAAAGGCCCTTAGTGGGCACCCTTACCCAAGGAGACGGAAATCCGTGAGGTAGGGGAGGTGTGACATTTTTAGGGCCGACCTTTTCTAACCCTTCCTTCCTTGTGAGAAGGCAGCATCGCTGCAGATGCTGGTTGTCCGAGGGAAACACCTTACTGCTGTCACACCCCTCTGCAGTCAGCAGTACGACTTCGCCCTCAGACCTTGGATAGCTGCTTTTAGTCTCATCGTTGTCCAATCGACCTGCCTGGCATGGTAGGACCTGCAGGAACATGTGTTCCAGCCAGTATAGCTCGGTTGGGTCATCACGATAGGCAAGCCCGACCACCACGTCAAGGTAGCAGCTTCGGTCGGGCCTTGGAACTCAACACAATTGTCAACAAACACCATAGTCAGAATTTCTAATATTAATGTTAAGACAGTTCTACTGTATAAGGCGGAAACTTGAAGAACTATGAAAGCGATCACCCGGAAGGTCCAAGTGTTCATTAAGAGTTGTCAACGCAAAATACTTCAGATTCGCTGGCCAGATACTATCAGAAACAACCTACTTTGGGAGAAAACAAACTAGATTCCAACAGAGGAAGAATTCACGAAGAAGCACTAGAAGTGGATAGGGCAAACTTTGCAAAAAGCACCCAAATGCGTCACAGAACAAGACCTCACCTGGACTCCTCAAGTCAAACAGAAAAGAGGCAGATAAAAAAAACACACTACGTCGATAAATGGAGACAAACATGAAAAGAATAAACAACAATTGAATAGAAACAGAACAGAAAACTCAGGACAGAGTAGGTTAGAGAATGCTGAAGCGAAAGCCTTAATTAAGTGGGTAATAAAAATTTGTAGTCACTGTTCGATTATTTTGATTTAGGAAAAAGAATTTTAACGAATGAGAATTGAAATCAGTTATTCAATGTTCAATATGTATGCAGTTATCAAGCATTTCCGGACACTTCATCGTTGGTTTGATGGATGGATGGGTGTGTGTTGAATATGAAAGCATAATTTCTATTGAGTATTCCATTTAAAGTTCTAATTTTCTGGTTTATTTACTTATGCATTACGGGGTTGTGAAGATTGTTAAGTTACACATTTTTGAAACCATGAATCGATCAATGTTAGACCACCATTAGAAACCTGGAAGCACTGGACGGCCGTTTCGTCCTGGTATGGGATTCTTCAGCAGTGCGCATCCACGACTCCTGCACCCCGCAGGATTCGAACCCAGGACCTTCGGTATTGTGCGCGACCGTTAGGAAAGTAGAGATATAAATAGATAGTTTAAAATGACTGAAAATGAAGTCCTCATTGAAAAGCATGATCTCATCATAAACAGTACTCACTTAATAAAATAAATGACAAATGCTCCAAAATTATACTTTTATTGACATTTAAAAAAAACAGGATGATTAGTTTCAGATGATAATTATTGTCATAATAAATATAAAGTGGTTGTGTCAATCATGCAATGTGAGTGTGTGCGTATGTGTGTGTGTGTAACTATTCTACAGTTATTACAATACCAGATTAAAGGAAAGCAAAGGAATATGATTTGTGTGTACAACAACATTGAGATATTGAACTTACAATCAAGATTAGGACCAGCTTTTTAGAGATAAGATTATTGAGTAATTAGAAGTAAATGACATATTTTTTTTGCTGACATGATATTCCAATAAAAAGGAATGTAAAGTGAGTGCTAATCATATTAATTGCTTTCAATTGACAATAATCAGTAAAACTTATGGTACAGGTTTGGAGAAAAAGACACACATTCGCAAGTAGTTAAGGTAAAGTCAGTTTCTGGCAGACGTAACCTGCGTCACCTATGGCGCAGGTGAGATATCTGTTTGCTGAATAAAGGGCGAGTGTACTGCGCAGTAGTTCACTCCGTCTTACTTTATGGCTGTCAAACATGGCCAGTGAGAGCAGATATTCGTAGGTTACTGGTTTTCGATCATAGGTGTAGCCGAAGCATTGTTCGTATATCGTGGGACACCCGAGTGAGCAACGCTGTTATTAAGAAACGGGTGCTAGGTAAGAATGGCAGATCAATAGATGAAGTAATGAAACTTCATCAGTTGAGGTGGTTGGGACATGTGTCACGAATGCCTAACCACCGACTGCCTCGATGAGCTTTGTTTTGTAGTGTAGGAGTAGGTTGGAAAAAAGTTAGGGGCGGCCAAATCAAAGCATGGCAGAAATCCATGAAGTCATTGACGAATGGACTTAGCCATGTCGGTAATTGTAGATTACCTGGTTGCGGTCTGCGAGATGATAGTAATCGATGGTTAGATACCCTGAATGACATGGCTCAGAATTGTTTGCAATGTCGCCGGTGCATTTATTCTTTGTGTTCTCTCAAATCCTAATCTTCTGGATTCTTCAACACCTATAGTTTTGACTTTCTAAACTTGTCTCACTGAATCATACTTCTTGAATAATATCTTCTAATCCTAACCTCTTCGATTACTTCTAATACCTTTACTACCTCTTCTACTATTAGATTTGAATTGACAATTATATCTCTGTGCTGATGTGGTATGGCGACATGAACTGATGTACTCACGAACGAAGTTCTACGTTGCATCTGACTGACTGACTTCTGGCAGAAGTAATAAATGCTTTTGCATTTGTGCGAACGCTACTTTTATTGTGCCTTTCAAAAAGCTATATCATTCTGTGTGTTTGGGGGGAATGTTTTTCTCATTCATTGTGTTGAGTTGTGCAGTTCCGGAAATAAATGATTGAGTTCTTAAATGTAGCAGATCCGACTTTAGGGTATTCCTATGATAAACTTTTAGGGGAACTCCGGCGAAATGCAGCTAGACAGCCCAGAATCGTCACTTATAGTTTATGGTTTATTTACGTCGCTGAATGGCTAAATGAATTCATAGACCATGTAAAGAATCATAGTTGTAAATAAAGAAATCTATTATATTACAGATGTGCTGTTGAAACGACTGGAACTGATAAAAGTAATATGTTTTGAATAGATTTAAGACTATCTCAACTATTTTATCGGTTAAACAGTTTGAAGAGAATGAAGATTTCAATATTTTCCTGATTTTGACGCACTACATCACATTTGGAATTTTATTTTCAGGTTATTCAATACTTGATATTTGTTGAATGTAAACATAATCCTAGATTGTCTTTCTGTTTATACTGAGTGGTATATATAGGACGTGATTGATATGTGACAGAACATGATATGAGCTAAACAAAATTATTTGACTGGACAATTACTTCAAGGTCCTGGGTTCGACTCCCGCCCATGGGGATTGTGGATATGCACTGCTGACGAGTCCCACATCAGGACGAAACAGCCGTTCAGTGCTTCCAGGTTTCTAATAGTGGTCTAGCATTGATCGATTCATTAATTCAGTGACACTCAACAATCTCTACAACCGTATCATGAAAATTACTCCATTGAAAATTAATGACGTCTTAAATCAAATAGTTTATTAATGAATCCAACGAAATCGGAAAATTATCTGAAGCTCTCAAAAGTTTTTCGTAAAAGCATTCCAAATCTATCTAAACACATGTTCTGAAGAGCTAGATAGATTATACATCATACCTTAATTAGATAGATATCAACCTAATGACTATAGGAGATTGATAAGCGGTTATAAAGTCACTTTCAAATATTCAAACAATGGACATATCGAATAAGTATTATCCAAATTTATTCATTCAATCAGTAAGGGTGAAAACCTAGTTTGCATTGTGAATTAATGTTCAACATACAATAAAATTTTCCCAACCTATTACCACAGTTGACAGACTGGTTAATCATCAATCATTCCTTGTTAGACCACGATTAGAAACTTAGAAGCACTGGACTGGTATGGGAATCTTCGGAAGTGTGCATTCACGACTTCTGTTACTCGCAGGATCCGAATCCAGGACCTTCAGACTTGCGCACGAACGCCTAACGTATGAACAGCTGTGCAGGCATCCAACGGTGTTAATTTCTAACTCTGATCAATCTAGAGCGTTTGCGCTACCTGACTCATTTTTCTTCGGTAGTTACTCCCTACACCCGACAGGTTTGAACTCCACTAGTCACGTCTTCTCAGTGTGTAAAAACACTGGTCACCATAACTCAAATTAAAGAAACCGTACAATGTGCTCACTAGAGACTACTTTCGTTCAACCCTGTTGGATGTAGGTTGTAATTGCCGAAGACAATGGGTGAGGTTGCACGAGATCTTTAGATTGATCATAGTCAGACAGTAACACCATTGGATGCCGGCCCACAGGTTCAAAGGTTAAGTGTTCGCGCTAAAGACCGAAGGTCCTGGGTTCGAATCGTGTGAGTAGCAGGAGTCTTGGGTGTACACCGCTGATGAGTCCCATACCAGGACGAGTCTGTCAATGATTGATTGATGATTTCAATCTGTAAAAACACTGATCTCCATAACTCTAACTGGAAAAAAGACTGAATAATCAGAAAACCACTCATCATTAAAACCATGAAATAAAATACTCAAACTATATTTTATTCAGAAATAAAGATAAAAAAAATATAATTACCAGCAGTGAATATATTAAAGAATGTACGTCGACCAACTTGATTCCCAGTCGGTTCAATCCCAGGACCAGATGCAGTTGCTTTACTTGCATCACCTTGTGCACCTTCGATCATAACTTTGAATGGTGAATTTAAAATTTCTTTTGTAGCAAATTTAATAATAACTCTGTATTCACCTTCTTGTGTTGGAACATAAGCGCATGAATAAGTCTGTTGTTTATCATTATTACTAAGTACATCACACTAAATAGCACAAAGAAAAGAAAACGCTTTTAGATGAAATCAAGTAGGAATTTATTAAAGTTGAACACTGTCTACATAATAGTAACTTTTCGCAAAACTTTATAACTAAACAGTCAGTAAGTTACAACTTGTCGTACCACATTATCACAGAGATGTAATTGTCAATTCAAATCCCATATTAGTAGGGTTAGTAAGGTATTAGCAATAATCTGAGGGATTATGGTTTGAGGATATTATTCAAGAAATAGAATCTAGTGAAATAAACTTAAAAAGATAAAGGTGATGAGAAATTGAGAGAACACAATGAATGGATGCATCTGCGCCATTGCAAAAAATTTCGAGGCATGTCGTCCAAGTTCTCTAACCATCGGTTACTTTCATCTCGCTGACCCTAACCTGGTAGTCTACACTTACCAGCATGGCTGAGTCCAGTTGTCAGTGACTTCATGGATTTTTGCCATGTTTTGGTTTGGCCGCCCCTTTTTTTCTTCTAACTTATTCCTGTATGGTAAAACAAAGCTCTACGTGGCAGTCGGTGGTTAGGCATACACATGTGCTAGCCACCACAACTAATGCAGTTTCAATACTTCATCTATTGATCTGCCATCCTTACCTGAGGCCCGTTTCCTAACTATGGCATTTCTCACTCGGCTGTCCCAGGATATAGGAGCAATGCCTGGAAGACATAATTAAACATGTGAATACAAAAACTAATGAAGTGGAATATGATACGATTACGGGAAACTTGTATCGTTAAAATTTACTGATCATTCAGTAGTGGTTAAATCCCGTATCTTACGTCATTCTTAGTGTTAATCGAAGTCTACTAAATCAGTTGTAATGTAGTTACTACTATAACTGACTCAAAATCGTGTTCAGTATGCTGAAATATAAGGTGGTGTTTAGAGTTAGTTGACAGGAAACTCTCTACCAGAGCTTTATGTCATTTAACCCTCTTTAGTAAGGTTTATCTGTAGTACTGAGGGAGGTGATCTTATCTGATGGATTTAAATTCAACTAATTGACTGTAGATCCTTTAGTCCTACAAAAGACTTGACTTCAAAGGTAATGAAATAGCTGAAGGAAAGAAAGTTAGGTCAAATACTA